TGACATTTGTTTTTGAGGAAAAAAACATCAAAATCTAATCATAAAATGTGTCTAGAAGTAATTATTGTGAGTGAGGATGCCTGCCGTGTCTACAGAGACTGAATAAGTGGCACAAGCTGCAGTAATGAGAGAGAATGAGATGTTGCAGGACCACAAGCTAACTACCTCTCCTCAAGCCAGTCCCAGCCCTCCAGAACAGCTGTCACTTGTTCATCTCTGTGTCTGAATGAACAACTTATCACTAATAAACACATACCTTCTGGAATCTATTAACTTAGCAGACCACTGATGTCCATCAACCCCAAATCTAAGAATGTCATCACATTGGGCTTATAAAAAACCTTCTCACATCTTGCTGTAACTGCTTCTCTGGTGTACCCACCAATGTATTTTAAACTTCCTTTGATGCATGACTTTCTTCATTCCGTAAAACTATAAATATTAGATTCTTCCCTGTTGGAGTATGGAATTTGGGTAACTGAATTATGAGTTTTTGAGCAATTTAACACCCCTGTAGAAAATCACTTTCTTAATTTTCCACTGCTGTGATGAGACACATGGTCAAGGACATGTAAAGAAGTAAATTTATTGGGGCTTAGTGTTTCAGAGGGTGAGTCCATGACCGTTATGACAAGGAACATAGCAACAAATGGGTACACATAGGGACTGGGGATGGTTTGGGCTTTGGAATCTCAAAGCTTACCCCTAGTGACACACTTCCTCCAACAAGGCCACCCTTCCCAAACTAGTTCCAGCTACTGCCCACTAGGGGCCAAGTGTTTATACACAAAGGCCTCTGCGGGCCATTGTCATTCAAGCCACCACACCCTGTGGAAACAGCTTTTTAGAAGGGTTAGAATGTGTGCACGGTTTCCTTTACCTCCATGCCGCTTTGTTGTATCTTAGTACAGCCAATAAATTCTCTACTTCTGCCCTTTGACCTCTTGGTGAGTTCTTTCACTGCTCAGGTGTCACTGGCTTGTCACCACTTTTCCAGCAGAACAATGGATGTATTGGGTTCTGAGCCAATGAATGTATCAATCCTATTATAACTTAGCTCTTTAAATATGTATTTAGTGTATCATATTTACCTACCACTTTATAAAAATAATAAATGCAAATGTATTTTAGTTCATTACTATAATGTGAATCATAATTCATTTTAAGAAATAAATATTGGAAATCATGCAGGAGACCTTGAAATTGTTGGAATAGCTGCATTTCTAGTAGATGTAAATATTTTATGTAATTGTTTTGTTATGACTATGCATGTAAAATCCTAGCTCAGGATTCCATATTGAAATGTCCACTTGGAAAGCTCTGAATAATGCTGGGCAAACTATTCATGGACTATTGCAATATTCTTCTGTTTGTGCGTGCACACACACACACACACACATACACACACACACACATTATCTGTGTTAACAATAGACATGGGGACAAATGGGGAGATGAGACCAATATCAAGGGTAAAATTAGAGGGCCCAGTAGACAGAGACATTTCACAGAGACTGAAAAGTTTCTTACCTAAAACTGTGTAAAGTTCTGGCTATGATTTATGTAGAATTCCATTTATGTCAAGGATAAGAAAAAGTGATGTCAGCCATACATTTAAAGCCTGAAAACTAGGAGACACCCTCTTCTCAAAGGCTTTTTATGTTCTATTTGACTTTTAATCTTTCTCTGATCAACACATAATATTTACACATATCTGCGAGGCAAAGTGTGATTACTTTTTTCTTACTCTGCTTCTCATCTGTCCTTCAGCATTTGTGCTCCAGCCATCTTCCTTCATCTGCACTGGCTGCAGTGTGATACCTTGAGTCTGATGTACTTTGAGTAGTGATCAGAACAATTAACACGCATATCATCTTAAACTGAATTATTTCTCTATATTGAATATATACTATATTAAAATTCTTTTATTCTATTAAATACATAACGACTGAGATATATAGAATGAATTATTGTTAATGATATTTACTTGACCATATTACAGAACATCTTCCTTCTATCCAAAGGTAACATTTTATCTGTTGAGTTTCCTTTCCTCACCTCCCTCCATTTGCTCCACTCTCTCTGCATAGTAGAGTACTATTACACAGAAAAGGTTTGTTGAATGAAGAAGATCAAGTTGCTTCCCCTTGCTGGAGAGCTGGGTAACGGCTGGGAAGTTTGTATCCCAATTAAACTCCCAAATGATAACTTTAGAATTCACAGTTGGTGCAAGAATGCCGTTCTGTACACTTAGAAACCTCACTGTCTAGGTTTCAGCACACATTATCTTAGAAGGGGAAAGTAATGCGTGGGAACCAGAGTTCTTGCTACTTTAGTAATAGTCTCCTATGATGCAGGAACCTCATTTGTTTTCAGAACAAAGTAAATGTGCAAGTAGGAAAACTAACTGCCACTATTAGTGGCTAATTAGATATTATTTTCAAGTGAGTTCTGGATGCTACAGAAATAAAGGTCCAATTTATCAACACATGCACACATAGGTTCATTAAGAACACAGTAAGAGTTTCAGTGGACTATTGAGACAAGAGCTCTGCAGAAATATGGACTCACTATGGGAGGGGGCCAGTTTCTGGGAAAAAGCAAGTGATTCATGATCAGAAGAAAGTATGGCTACTGCCACATGGGAAGGGCAGAGAGAAATGTGTGTGGCATCTGTTCATCCATTTCTTGGGTTGTTAAAACTCTCCACACAATCTTAGTGATAAACACAGGAGCATCCAGTTACAACCTGAAATGAGTGTCACATGCAGCCCCTCAATGACTGTCCAATGCCAGGTCTAGGGGCCCAACCCCGGCAAAAAATTGGAACTCCTGGGAAGTCTGGGCTTGACTAGCCTTTGATGAGACTGCATCCCTGACTGCCAATTCCCTGCCACTCCCTCCGTTCCCTTCACTTCCCTTCCTTCCCATGTCTGTTGATGTGAAAAAGAAAAATTGCCTTATAACTTTCCGGATGCTTCCTGGGAACCCAATACCATGAATCAATAGATGAATTCTTTAAAAATCTGTATCCAAATGATACAGTATTACTTTAAATGATCAACACTGACTGTGTCAATTTATGATCTTAAAAATAGAAATTGTCTTTAGGGAAGGTAGAGAGATATATGACCTAATAATTGCCCCTAGCAATGCAGTAGAGCTGATACAGCAGGTTGTACTGCCTTCCCTGGAGGAAGAAGGAAGCCTCTGGAGCAGCACTGTGGGTTCCTGGCCTGTGGTGTGTGGCAGCTGCTGTGGAAGGGGCCTCAGCTGGGAGCTCATTAGACTGTTGGCTCCCCAGATGTGTGGAATCAGACTGTACATGCCTGTAAGACCCTGAGATGACTCTCCGCTGATTAACATCAATGTTGCCCAATCCTGACAGCAGGGCAGAATCACCTATGGATTTGTAAAGATAGTTATACAGATAGCCTATTCCAAGTAAACTCTTGGAATCTATTGAAAATGCTTCTGGGACACTACAGATTCAGACAATTCCTGTAGCCTTTTCCAATGAACAGTGTGAGTGAAGCAATGATAGCTCCCCTAAAATGTCCGGGTCAACTGGAAACATCTATGAAATCCTTCAGAATTTGCACTTCCGTCTCCATTTTCTTTTATTAGATTGCTATTTGGGTCCTTCCTTCTTTTTCAAAATCAGGAAATGGAAATATGAGAACATACACTGTGTAATGTATTTATCGTCTGATCCTGGATTCTAAGAATTGAGTTGCTCTCCCTTCTTCTGCAGGGGCTAAGAAGAAGGTGAAACTGACAAATGACCACAGAGTTCAGTTTCCAGGTACAAAATCAATACACATATTCATGTCTTTTCAAAGCCTCTTTCTGTTTGGCTACAACGATTTTCAATTTCCATGTATTTTTTGAGGCCAATCAATAAGGTCTGAGTTCAAGACAAATCATTCAACCCTTTGTTCTTCCCCATTGCTTTAAGCAACATAGACCAAGTGAAAATGAAAGTACATAAATGGCTGCATTGGTAACCAATCTCCAGGGCATTAAACAAACATGCACAGAAGGCAGGAAGAAATAAGGCCATCACTCCCTTCTACATCACATAGGAGTGATTCATGGCCTGAAAACAGTCTCAATGACATAACGCTGCTTAATATTAAATCCCACATTATACTTCATAGCATTTTGAATGCTTGGGATATGAGATCTCTTCCTCACAAATGATGGGAAACTTTCTATTAACTAAAACAAGTAAGTACAGTATGGAAAAATACAATACTTTAATATTTAAAGCTCACTCACTTGTAGTATAAGTTCAACATGTCTCTTACTTGCCCCAAATGAAGCTTATCTGCATGAATATTTCTTGTATGCTAAGACCAGTGTGAGACTCAGAATGCTGAGCATGCATCAACATGTCAAGAACTAGGCATGGTGCATCTGCAATCTCAGCACTGTGGAGGAGGAGGGAAGAGATCTGAAGTTCAAGGGCATCATCAGCAACTTGGAAGATAGCCTGGATTATAGCACCAGACCTTGTCGCAAATATAAGCAAACAGGGGACTGGGGAGATGGCTAAGTTTGTCAAGTCCTTGCTATCAACTATGAGGACCTGGCATCATTCCCAGCACCCGCATAAAAATCAGAGATGGACATGTGCCCTTGTAATCCTTGTGCTGGTGACAGATAGATCTTTGAAGTTTTCTGATCTCCAAATCTAGGCAAATTAGTGAACTCCATGTTTAGTAAGACCTTGCCTTAAAACATTAGATAAAGAGAAGTTGAGAAATACATTGGCCATCAAATTGTGGCCTCCATGCTCATGTACCCATGTGTCCACACACCATGTAATGAAGTAAACTGTTGTTAAATTTAAGAACATGGTAGCTTAGTAACCATTCTATTTATTTATTATGTATACAGTGTTCTATCTGCATGTATGCCTGCTGGCCAGAAGAGGGTGCCAGATCTCATTACAGATGGCTATGAGCCACCATGTGGTTGGTGGGAATTGAACTCAGGACCTTTGGAAGAGCAGGCAGTGTCCTTAACCTCCGAGCCATCTCTCCAGCCCTAAGAGGTATTTTTGTTTTGGGTTTTTTTGAGACAGGGTTTCTCCATGTAGTTTTGGCTCCTGTTCTGGATCTCGCTCCGCAGACCAGGCTGGCCTCGAACTCACAGAGATCTGCCTGGCTCTGCCTCCAGAGTGCTGGGATTAAAGGCGTGTGCCACCACTGCCTAGTAACCATTCTTTTAATCATATACTGAGATATAGAAGCTAATATAGCAACAAGAAGAATACCATGTAGGAAAAGAACTAGCCAACAGGGAACCTAAAGAAAATCCTTCACAAATGTCATTGCATGGTGACCCACTTAGTTACGACAGGTGGACTAAACATTCACATTCAGATAGTGCTAGTGCTGCAGGGTCAGACGTGCTAGTGGATGACAAAGTGCAGGGTTTGAGATGATGGAAGGAATATCTCCAGGGATGACTGCTTCACCTCTGTACGGAATACTGCGTTTCCTGGAGTCAGTATGGCTTCTAATGATCATAATGCCTCCAGATGTCAATGTCATTTGAGTTTTGTGGTCATTGATTATTTATATACCTCTTTATGCCCCTAACTGGCTGAAGATTACTTGTGTGCTTACCTTATTTGTAAAGTTCCTTTCTGTATCTTTATTTCTTCAAACTTCATCTTTATTTATTTATTTGTGTGTGTGTGTGTGTGTGTGTGTGTGTGTGTGTGTGTGTGTGTGTATGTGTGTGTGTGTGTACACTCACACACATGTGTCATGGGTGTACAGGTTCCTTCAGAGGCCAAAAGAGAGTGTCATACTCCTTTAAACTGAGGTTACAACTGGTTGTGAGACACATGATGTGTATCTTGGAGACTGAACTCCACTGAACTTCATTCCTCCAGAAGTTAAGCAAAGGCTCTTAACTGCCAAGCCGTCTCTCCACCCCTCAATTTTTAATGTTTACCTAGAATCAAGTTTCCTTATGGCATTTTCACACATTCTTAGTTTGGGAATATCTTCTCATACATCCCTTCCCATTCCCCATTTCCTTGCTTATCATTCCTGCCGAAACCCTTCCATCCTAGGTATTCCATATTTTTTTTTTGGTGTGTGTGTGTGTGTGTGTGTGTGTGTGTGTGTGTGTGTGTGTGTGTGTGTGTGTGTGTTTGTGGTTGGAGTTGTAGTCCACATAAGGATGCCAGGTGACCTGCTCTGAGTTTTCCTGCCTGGTCCACAGTCAGGACAAATCTCTGTCACCTGCCAGTCCCTCAGCCACTCAGACCCAACCAAGTAAACACAGAGACTTATATTGCTTACAAACTGTCTGGCCGTGGCAGGCTTCTTGCTATCTAGTTCTTATATCTTAAATTAACCCATTTCTATGAATCTATACCTTGTCACATGGCTCTTGGCTTACCAGCATTTTACACATGTCATGGTGATGGCTGGCAGTGTCTCTCTGACTCAGCCTTCTACTTCCCAGAATTCTTCTCCTCCTTGTCCTGCCTATACTTCCTCCTTCCTGGCTACTGGTCAATCAGTGTTTTATTTATTAACCAATCAGAGCAACACATCTGACATACAGAACATCCCAGAGCACCTCTGTCATTCATTCTTCACTTTATCCTCTTGAGACCAGGTCTCTCAGTGAATATTAAACTCGTATTTGTTCATGTGTTTTTATGTGTTTTTTTCACTTGTTTTGTTTATTTAGGCTTGCTGGTCAGCAATCTCCAGTAACCTGCCTCTCTCTACCAACCACCCTTTCTACTATAGCTGAGGTTGTAAGTATGTTTTTGGTACATGCCCATACCCCAGATTTTATGTGGGTGCTAGGGATCTGAGCTGAGAACCACATGCTTTCACAAAATGTGTTCTAATGCACTCAGACATCTCCCGAGCACTCCACATTTCATTTTTATATTTTCTTTCATGCTTCCTCACTAGTTGCGGTGATTTCTTCTCTTGGCTTCAGCTGTCTAATAGTCCTCATAACTATACACACATGCAAAAGCATTCTGCACACACTTGTGTCCTTGGGACATTTCATTATATAGTTTTGAAACAGGATCTCACACAGTAGCCCAGGCTGTCCTTGAAGTTCACTCTGTAGCTCAGGCTGTCCTTGAACTCCTTAAACTCAGGGCAATCCACTTCCCTTAGTCTTCTGTTAAAATTAAAAGCCTGATCCACCATACTTAGCTTGTTTTTTCACATTTTACATGTGTCTAGACCTAAAGAAATATGGTATCTAAAAATAATTTTTAAACATTTCATAAATATTGTATAATAATTTGAAACTATAATAATGTATTTGCTATTTTTTTAATTCTGTCAGTAATGATGTTGTAATTGTTTCTAATTATATAGACTTGTCTAATGAATGTCAGGGCTGGTTATAAGAATCACAGGGCCTTTCTAGAAGCAGACATAAACACACACACACACACACACACACACACACACACACACACACACACTGTTAGCTGATGTGATTAAAGCATGTTCCTATACATGAAAGCTTTAGTGTTCTGAGAAATGTTGCAATTATTTTATCAGTTACATGTATGGTGGGATGGAGTGCATATGGGAGAAATTAGGGAAGAGTAAGAAGAGAATATAATCAAAACACAGTGTATGCATGCATGAAATTTTCAAATAATTAATAAAAATAGTATCCTAAAAAGAAATAATATTTATATACTACTTATAAAAGGAGAAAGAATATTATAATGGCATTGTTAAAGCTAAAGTTAAGTATTTATTACTTTGTGGAATAAAATCTGTCTCTATATTATTTTATAAATTACATTTCCTTAAGAAAATAATTATAGAGGAAATTTATTAGAAGCTAAGTGTTATGGCTGACAAGATGTGAGAGTTCAATCATGATAGGCACATTATTTAATTATTACAGCCTTTTAAGGACTTTGTCAAAGCTTCAGATATGGCTGCTTCCTGTGAATATCATAAAATTAATTAAAGGTTCTAGCAGCATGTGCTTTTGTTCATAGGTGGTTGATAGTATTGTTTCTGGAGTTTCTAAGGCTTCTCCTTGGAACCACAGAATCTCAAAATCCACTGGTAGAGACCAACTTGTCTGTTACCATAGCAGGTTCTACAAAAAGCAGAAATGAGTAGAAATGGTGGTCTACATGGATCCTCTAATTAAAATAGAGAGCCCTGTAAACCAGTTCTCCCTCTGTCTTGCTCTGCTCCTCTGTACTGTCCTCTTCCACTTCCACTGTGCCAACATACCCTGAAGTACTGTAGGAGCTGGGAACATTGGCCTCTTGGTGCTCATCAAATTTCTCACATGCAGTTATCCTCAACCTAGCGATTGCCACAAAGATGTTTTCTGCTATATGCTTAATTAACTCGGTTGATAAGTCTTTGATGCATAAACAAATGAGCCTTTTCACTGAACATATTGTCAACAGCCTAGGAAAACATTTTGGTGCAGCCAGTGTCAGAGATAATTCTTTGTCATTTGTTAACTCATTTTGAAATATAAACATTAGAATTCAACCCTTTTAAATATGCAGCAAAGGCTATAATTCTTAGAGCAATATTAAAAGCAGAATTATTTTTTATTGTTTTTATAACTGGGAGTTACCTTCTGGAAGGAACACAAAAAATGTCGACATGCATCAGAATCTCTAAATCCTTTTTCTGTCTGTAAGCCATATTTTTAATCATGTACTACTTACAATGGACAGCACCATCTGAGATTATGTTATTTTCAAACACCATAATGAAAACTGATTAACTCTGTGAATAAACCAGCAATCATTCACATTGTAGTTATGTAGAGATATCTTGAATAAACAAAATGTAGCATGACTAATGATTACTTGTTTGGACCTCAGTCTCACATACCAAGAAGTTCTAAAAGGCATGAGTCAAAGAGAGGCCAACATGACACCAAAGACTGCTGAAAATTAAAAACTCTTCTATGAACACGGAAAAGGTACATCTACGTGGAAGCACTACGAATCGAAGGAGCTTGTTCCTGACTACGTGTCTTTACATTATTCTCCATGTTATCTATTTGAAAGAGGCATAAGGACTTTGGACACATATGCTTGCAGGAGCTCACATTTCACAAGTGCAGTGGAGGCTTCTGTAGCATGGGGACATTCAGAATTTCAGTGGCTTTGAACATGGACAGATAGGAAGTGCTGCTAAAAATGTCATTGGATAATGTTTAAGTAACCAACTTAAGATAAGTATCAAAAATGTAAGGAAACTGGGAGTTTAATTTCAAAACTGTCATTTAATTTTAATGGTACAGTTCAAGGCCTTTAGCTTTTCATCACAGTTATATAAATATTTCTGTGACAATAGTTTTAAATAGAAAAACATTTCAACTTAATGCTTTCTTTTTATATTTTATTATTTTATAATTATATTATATATATATTATATTTTATAATTAAGCATGAAATAAAAAAAAGAAAATAATGCCTTAGTTTCACCTGTGATTCTATACAAATATTCAAAATATATCTAGGTATCCCCAAAACACTGAAAGACTGAGGTCAACTATTTATGGAGTATATATAAGTACTTCAGTAAATGGTTCATATCAAGTGTAAACAGTAGTATTCTATTGAACACTTCCCCTGTGGTTACTGATGCTCAACATTTGCAAACCTCACCTCTTCTCTAGCTTTCCACCAAACAGGAAAACAGCATCACTTCACATTTCTCAAAAATACATGAGTGCCTACAGCCGAGTATGCTCAGCTATAACAGAACTGTAAGACTTTAGTTCCTGTCAGCATGAGACGGTATTTTGCTGCTGTTGTTAAGGCAGGTAAGTGTCTAGTTCTCATTCAATTATTTTTCTACTCTATGGTGATGGACTGGATATAGGTTGGGAGGGAAAATGAAAAGTCATGGTAGACACTAATATTTTTGGTTTGAGAAATGGAAAGCTGAGGTTGCTTTTGACGAAAATGGAGAAGACTTCAGGAACAACAAATCTAAATTGTGGGATTGAAAGAGATCTACCTCTAAAATATCTAGGATCCCTGTTACCTGTCTGAGCTGAAAGAATGGATTGGCAGTTGGATGTGTACATAGAAATCAGCTGAGGAGCTCAGATTAGAGGCATAAACATGAAGGCCACCAAAATTTTATCCTGAGACTGAGTGAAATGAGAAAGAAACTCAGAGAGAATAAATAACAGAAAAGAAGTTAATAGTTCAAAGACTTGTGATTTATGACAATAATATTCTACAGTGTGGCTATGAGGATCACCAGCATAGGACAAGATCAAGAAGGATCAACAAGAATTGTAATAGGGAAAGTTGACAAACATGGTGACCTAGAAATAAGATGGTGGAAGACTATCTTTGAAAAGAAATGCTTGATGAACTCTTCATCAAATAATTATTAAAACTGTTATGATTATGTACTCAACAATAACCTTGACAAGAAAACTGTGATAGAATTATAGGGAACATGGAGTGATGAGCACTTGTGTATATTTAAGATGATCATCATGCCCAGCTTCATGTAAACTTTCTTAGGCTCACAGGGTGGAGGACAAAAGAACACATAAAACCAAAATGAGCCCTTCTCTCATGCCAGAGCTCATTATAGATACACAAGCACACTGAGCCAAGACCAACCAAGCCTGCCAGAATGAATCTAGCCCAAATTTCCAAGCTGCTGAATTTTGAAAAAAGATGAAATGGACAATAGCAACAAACCAGTACAATATGAACAAAGTACAATTTAGAGTACTCGATTTAGTTTACTAAATACAAATATAATGTAAAAAGGACTAGAATGTAAAATTAAGAAAAAGGAATAAGTAGAAAATATTTGTTCAGAAAGAAGATTTGAATTAAATTTGATATATAGATATATAGATAGGTAGGTAGGTAGATAGATAGATAGATAGATAGATAGATAGATAGATAGATAGATAGATAGATGATGGACGGATGGATGGACAAATGGACGGATGGACAGATGGATCAATAAATGGATAGATAGATAATTTTGTGTATGTATACATGACATCCTGTCACAACTAAGAAAGCCTGACATTATGTCACAACTAAGAGAGCCTGGAAGTACTCCTTCAGTTTTATGACCCATGAGCCGATTGGATCACCAAGAACAAGGAGTTTAGGATGCTTATTCTATAAGGGACAAGGGCAGAGTCAGTACTTCTTCAGACAGGCCTTCTGTATCTAAGGATGTTGCATGCTCAGCACATTCTGCATTTAGTGTCAGAACTAGAGGCAAGACTGGTGACAGGTGAATTAGCCAAGGTTGTCAGGAACATATCGCTATATAGATGCTGTCACATTTGCTTTTGGAAGTACTCTAGAGAGACTGGCTTCAGGAGTCTGTGGGATGTGGCAAAGCTATTTTGGATGTGTATTATTTTGTTGTGTTGAAGGATCCATTCACGATGCTCAAATATTTTTCCGTGTGTAATTAAATTTTGGCCAGCTGTCCTTGTGTAAGAATGGCATCCAATATTCACCTAAGACTGTGCAAATTTTCCTGGTTTAGCCATATCAGAAAGGGTGGGCAGAGATTTACCATATTAAGAGTACATCCTTCTGTGACTGACACCAAAGGATCTGGTTAGGAAAAATGAAAGCATGTAAAATTGCAGAGACAAGAATAGCGAGAGTGGAATAAAATGAATGCAAATATTGAGCAGGGCACTTAGTTCTTTAAAGTCCTAGAAAGGAAAGAAAAAAAATAAACAAAAGCAACCAGGAATATACTAGATTTTATATATATATATATCATACTTTATTCTTGACAACAATTAAAAATATATAATTTATGTTCATTCCTTGTGGTGTGTGTGTGTGTATCTGTGTGTGTGTGTGTCTGTGTCTGTGGTCTGTGTGTGTCTGTGTGTCTGTGTCTGTGGTCTGTGTGTGTGTGTGTGTGTGTCTATGTCTGTGTCTGTGGTCTGTGTGTGTGTGTGTGTCTGTCTGTCTGTCTGTCTGTGTTTGTGTCTGTGTGTGTCTGTGTCTGTGTGTGTGTGTGTGTGTGTGTGTCTGTGTCTGTGTCTGTGTCTGTGGTCTGTGTGTGTCTGTGTGTCTGTGTGTGTCTGTGTCTGTGTCTGTGTCTGTGGTCTGTGTGTATCTGTGTGCAGAAGCCAGAGGAGGACATCAGATGTCCTGCTAGCTCTACCACTCTCCACTTTATCCCCTCGTGCCAGGCCCTCTTTCTGAACCTGAAGCCAGGAAGGCAGCCAGCCAGCTCCAGCGGTCATCTGGCCTCCGTGCCCCATAGTTCTGAAGTTACAACAGTGCCAGGCCAAGCTTGGAAATGTTTTGTGGTCACTTGAGTGCTCAGTTTCAGAACTTGGATCTTTGTGCTTTTACAGAAAGCTTTCTTACCCCCTGAGCCATCTCCTCTGACCTGGCTTTTCTGTGTTTTCAGGCTATGGCACCTGTGGTGCTTTTAATACCACCACAGGGTATATCTGAATATAAAGTATGGGTTGTATCTTAGCATCTTTTCCTGTCAAATGTTGAAAGTTACAGATGAAAACTGCCCTGGAAGAAATAGTCTAAGTGAAATAACCTGAAGAAGCCAATGTTTGAGAAAATGCCTACATTGTACAAGTATAATAAATGTACAAAATACACATTTATATAAATTAATACAGGCTAGCTGCAATCTGTAAATGTACCTAGTTTTATAAGATAGGAAGTGACAAGTACTGATGTAATTACTATCTTTGAAAAACCAAAAGGTTCCAGTTAAACATGGTATACCACTGAGTTTCTCTGTGATTATTAACTTCTTCAGAACAAGGTAAGCACTGTGCGCTAGTTTACTTAAATATACCAGCTACAATAGGAACGTATACATCATATGTATATGCTCCTGTGTGTTGTGTATGAGGTGGGTGTGATTTGTAAATGAAATGAGGCATGTTCTATTAAAACAAAAGGCATTAGTTGTTTACAATTAGAAGTTGGAAAAACAGCAGCATAATAAGGCTAATTATCTGGAGAAAGCCAAAAGTGTACGAAGAGTTGTTAGGGGATGAGAACCGAGTGTTCAGAAGAGAAGAGCAAGATAGCTACATCTTGCTACAAAATATGAGAAAATTGCCTTTTTAGATATTTTTTCATATTTTAATAAGCATAAAAATTAACTGAAAAGACAGCATGAATTTTGGCACATGCTTATGTGTGGACCCTCATAAACTCTCTATTATGATGCTCTTTCTAGAATATTACAAATATGAATATATTATACATTGCAATATAATTCTGGCGATCTTATCCTTGCAAGATAAAGGATAGTTGATTGACTGAAAATATTCTCTTCTTAAAAAAACTTTTATCCTTGATAAACCAAATAAAGTTAGCTATAAAGCAGCCTGCTTGAATAGCACTGCTTGAAACCAATCATTTTTTTAAAAGAAAGAAGAATTTAAATATTTATGAAGTCGAGTTCTATTTACTGTTTTGAAACAGAAATTATTAAAATTTCATGAACTTTGTAGGGTTATTTTCCCTTTCTATAACTGGCAGAAAACAAATGAGTTTTATGTTATTAAATCAAAATGCATGGTAAGCTAATTAAGAAAAATTAAGTTATATCCAACATATAAAAGGAAAACAATATTGTAGCATCTTCTTGTGTTTAATTATGATGTAAACTAGAATGAAGCTGAAAATGTATGTGTGGAGCTTCTGAAAGTGGGTGCCATGCATTCATTCAGACTTTGTTATGGAAGAAGCATTGATTTTATTCTTACATCTATATTTCACAAAGAGTATCAGAGGGAAAAAGCTTGCCTCACAGGCAAGGTTGAAAGCTCCGTTTCATTTTATTTCTTATCTTAATGGCAGGGAGCTGCTCCAAACTGAAAAATATATGCTTTGGGAAGATTGAACTTGCTAGCTTTTGCAGAGTTCTTCATCTTTTTCTAAAGGACAGTTATTGACTAAGCAAAAGAGAAGGAAATTAAGTATTCTCCTTGGCACACATCCATGACTATGTGGCTAGAAAATTCCAAGCGTGAGAACTGAGATTTTAAATTTAAGAGCGAGGTTTTAGAGTGCTTCTGGGGATATAGTTTCGGAGTGGCAGGTGCTCTCTACACTCCTCTACCGTCCCCCACCTCCCTATGCAGACTTTTCTGGAATTCCCAATCTTTGAGTGTAATCAGGCATTTTACTTGTCCTAAATAATACAAAGTGCCTTGATACTGGGATGTGGCTTGAGAGTTTGGTCATTAATTTAAAATGTTGGAATAAGCCTTGAACAAACTCTGCCAGACCCTGACCAAGGAACCTTCCATTCCCCTAAGGCTTGCAGAAACCCCACCCCACCCATGTCAGAAACTCCAGCCTCTCCCAGATGACTGTCTTTGATTAACTCAGTCTGCCACTATCTTCTGCATCCTGACAACACCAGGCAGGTAGCTTTTAAAGATAAAACAACTTTCTCTGGATGAACAACTCCAGGAAGAGGAGACTGGAAGTAGCCACTGAAGGTGCATTTTATTTCCCATTTTCCAATCCCTCCTTATATCTCCTCCCTGCTTCACAAGGTGTTCCTTTCCCCAGGAGAGAATGTCTGCTCTTTGCTATTTGAAATGAACAGTCTCTTCTGCTGGGTTCAGACTGGCCCCTTCTCAGCCTTCTGTCTTTAAGCTGTCTCAGAAATCTTACTACATATGCATCATATAGACATATGTGTGTATAGAGATGTATATTAGCATATATGACTGCACATATGAACTATTAAAAAAAAGAAAACTATTATTCTTACTATCAATTTAATGTATTGTGAGATCCGGGGGAATCAATT